GCTCGTCTAGCCCACTAGCCCGCTCGGCTCGTGCTCGGGCTCGTTTTTTGACGAGCCCGACTGGCTCGTGGGCGTGAACAGTACGAGTCGAGCGGGCGAGCCGACGAGCCGCTCGGCTCATTTGACATCACTAGTTTCAATCTATTTTGAGTCCCTAACTTTGGGTCGATAGATCGTGTTGTTGGTATATCTTATGATTTAGAATTTGTTTGAGGTGCATTATTTAGTCAGAAATATGAAAAATATGATCGTTTGTCATCAAATCCAGTCCTTTTTTTTTTTACTTCTTCCCTCTAAGGTGGGGCCTAGCTACCTGTGCAACGGTCATTTTTTCATTTTTATGAGATAGAGAATGTGCTCCAAACAGGGGCTTAGTAGGGATTTTGTAAGCTCGGATATGCTCGATATTGAGTTTTGATTTATATAATTCTACATTTACCGATATAAAAAAAAAAAAAGTCAAAGCAACTTAAACTCTTAAAAACCAGCATATACACGACAGTCAGAAATCGAACGAAAAAAAAGGAAGAAAAAATGAATCTAGATAAAAAAAAATAAAAATAAAAGGTCAACCAACGGTTTGGTAGTTTTTAGTTCGTTAATAGGTACCCCGAGAAGACTATGTTCCTCTCCTGTATCTTTTCCTCCAGATATTTCTCCAGTTTGAATTTAAAATCGTGTAGAGTTTAAGCCAAGAGCAATCTTTTTTAGTCAGAATTCTGCAAACAAAAAAATAAGAGGTGCTGATCTTTTATATTCAAGAGTTTCTTTTTGAATCTTTACAAACCCTTGTAAATCTAGATGCGGAAGGTCGCTAAGAACAGACATTCTTTTAAATTGTTATTTTTTTTTATTTTCCATTTATTGAACAGAAAGAAGTTTAAAATAATAGAATGTTGGTCAACTACTCTGTTTGGTGGCAAGTAGTTGTTGCAGGTGTGGTTCATCGTCACCATGAAAGATTATAGGTTAAGTGTTCAATCCCAGTCCTTCTGTTAGTTCTCTTATGTGGCTTATACTTCACTCATCTATAGTTTCAAATTTCATTTACATTTTGATGTGTATAATGCAACCGTCACCAAATATTTTTTTTTATCTTCACTTCCAATCTATGCTTACTTTGATGTGCCCATTTTATCTTCTTGCACTAGTTCTTTCCCACGCAGCTTCAAGATTTCCAAATCCCATCAAGTAGAATGTAATGCTGCACACGTGCAAACACACACACACAAACACCGAGGGGGAGAGAGAGTACTTGAGAATAAACGTCGCAATAGAGTTTATTTGGACTTTACTGCATATGGTGTTTGTTTAGTGTAATTCTCGATTATGAGCAATGAATTATTGGAACCAACGTATGGCAATGAAAGACTAATTCTGTCTACTTGAAATTTTTGAAGAGAAATGTCCTATTTCTGAAGGAATGGGGAAGCAAGGATCTCCTAGAAGAAGTCGTCTTGATACTTTAAATTTTGATGCATCGTCTGGGCTTAGAGATTATCAATTTAGGTGGACAGAAATGATACAAAATAGTGATCCTTCTTTAGGTAGAAGGGTGTCTGGAGTTGACTACGATTTGGATAGTGCTGTATTTGGTAAAGGGTTTAAGAATGATACTGTGAAGCCTTGTAAAGGTATTTATGCTGGGAAAAGGCACACATGGTGGCTGCATAGACACATTAGGTCAATTGTTTTCACATTCGCGCTGGTGTGTTTTCTTTTTCTTTTGGATTCTGTGATGTTTTCCATTTTTGATCCCGTGATTCTCCATCATAATCCGGCTCCTAGAAAATCAGTAGTAACAGAGGTATACTTGATGAATTGTTTTATTTATATGACTTCTCTTAATAATCAATGTTTTGGAGATTAAAATGACATATAAGTTTTTCTCATTTCTGGTTCTTCCATCCTGTTTCTAATATCTTTGACCCCTTTGAGTGATCCTATTCTTTATTTTACCTGATACTAAAGACTGCTCATTTAATTGTCGAAGTTTCATTAGCTAGCCAAAAATGACGTTTACACTTCGTATATGTTTTCTTGGCGTGCCTGTAGGAGAGAAAAGCTATATACTATGATCAAGAAAGAAGTCCAGTGAAGATGTATCACCGACTACTTAATTTGGCTTCTATTTCTCTTGCAGAGGTTTGATCCAAGTTCCTAATGATATAATTCAAGCATTTTGGTTAAAATATATATATATATATATAATTTTGTATGCATGCATATGCTCCAGAGAGAAAATGAGCCAAAACAATCAAAGTTTTGGAAGGAAACTTACCCTCAGGCATTCCTGTGGAAACCTTGTGCACATAAGAGAAATTCTCAAGGTATAGTGTAGTCATTTTGAACTTTGTTCATGAGTGAACTTATTATCATTGTACACTTGTCACATCTCTAATGGAAAATAATGTGCTTCTGAACTTGGTACAATGGCAGGGAAACGAAGGAACAGCACTGGTTTTATATTGATAAGTGCGAATGGAGGTCTAAATCAACAACGAGTTGCCGTAAGAATTTAGCCTTTTTCTGATTCTTGTTTTTATTTGTGAACTTCAAAAGTGATATTCCTTGATTGTGATGATAATAACTCTATAATCTTGTTTGTACTGAGAGGTGTGATGTTGTGTCTGTATATCATTAATCTGACAAATTTGACGACATTAAATAGTTACCCGACAATTACTATTTTCAATTATTTTGTTACTATTTTATATAAAAGGAAGATTTTATATCAGTTGATTGTAGGTAGCTGTATTTTTTGCATTACTTTCTACAATATAGTAGCTTAAAAGCATCTATTGTAGCTTTATCATTGCATCGTCATTGCTATGCAACAATGGGCAAGAGGTTGGCTCCTACTTTGTACCTGCATCGTGAAGCAGAAAATAATACTCTTTGAAATCACTCAAACCATAAGCTCCTACATGTTATAAAACAGTGCATGTCATATCATTTTACGAATATTTTTGCTTGCGTAAAAATAATTATCTCTTACTACTAGCTCAAGCATGATTATGCATAAAAAAAAAAAAATCCTGTTTTGGGCTTTACCTGCAGGTCTGTAATGGTGTTGCTGTAGCGTCTCTGCTAAATGCAACTTTAGTGATTCCCAAATTTCTTTATAGCAATGTATGGAAGGATCCAAGGTAATCTATGTTCCCTCTATTCTCCATTGAAATATAATTTATTGTTTGACTGTTCTCCTTTGCTTTTATTTCTAATGATACTAGTATATGATTGCATCTAAACCAGAATGAAAAATCTTACTTTTGTAACTCGTAAATAGTAGAAACGAAGCAATACACCCACACACATGATAATATACATCCATCTAAAATAATATCGCAATGAATCCCCTTACCAATTGATATATTTCTATTTCTTGATCTCTATCTTCAATTTAACTTTCTTATTACTTGGCATTGCAGCCAATTCAGTGATATTTATCAAGAGGAGAATTTCCAAAATGTTTTGAAGGATGATGTCGATATTGTGAAAGAGCTCCCTCCTGATCTACAATCAATAGATTTTGAAGAAATTGGCAGTCTTGTGTGCACCTTTCCAGTTGATATTGTTGAATAAGAAATGCTTTTTCTTTGGAGAAAAATGTGTAAGCCTCTTGTATTGCTTTTCCAGATAACTGATGCAGATCTTCCGAAGGAGGCAACACCTCATGAATACATTAAGAACGTACTTCCTCTGCTACAGCGTAATGGAGTTGTTCACTTCCTTGGATTCGGAAATCGGCTTGGGTTTGACCCATTTCCTTTTAACCTTCAGGTTAAGAACATTCTTATCACCTTCAGTGTAATTCATAATAGATTCAAGTTCCTAGGGATATCAACCAAGACAGGCCAGGTGAGACATTCCAGGCCAGCCTACGACCCATCTCCCATTGAATCTTGGTTATCTTTTCTATTAGACAGTACTGGCCTTTGAGCCTGGCATGGCCCACTTTCAAAGGAGGGACAATCAATGGCCCGGCCCCAATTCCAGGCTGCCACAGCCTAGATAGTCTGGCTGACTTTGATACCACTACTTGCTTGCCCAAGATATCTTTGTTCTTCAAAATATGCATATTATACACTCTATGTTGTGATAAATAGTCACTAGTTTAACTCAAAATTGTGAATTTTTTTTCTTTCTTTGCAGAGACTACGATGCAAATGTAATTTTCATGCTTTAAAATTTGTACCAAGAATTCAGAAGGTTGGATCATTACTGATTAAGAGGATAAGAAAATATAATTCTGCAAGGAGCATGTTAGACAAGCAACTTCTTGGAGACTTCATCTCAGACGTCCCTTCTACAGAGCATAACACTATAGGATGCCCTTCTAACTATCTTGCTTTGCACTTGAGGTTCGAAATTGATATGGTAGCCTATTCTATGTGTGAGTTTGGGGGTGGAGAAAATGAGAGAAGGGAACTTAAAGCATACAGGGAAGAACATTTTCCGCTTGTCATCAAGCGGTTGAAGAAAATGAAGTATGATTTCTAAATGATCATGCATTAATCAACTTGTTTAAATTATTTAAGTTGTTTTCTGATCTCGTTTGATGACCGCAGACCTCTCTCTCCCCAGGAACTCAGACAGATGGGGAAATGTCCATTGACACCGGAAGAAGCTGCATTAGTTCTTGCTGGTTTAGGTTTCAAGCGTGGAACTTACATTTATCTTGCTGGGTCCCAAATTTATGGAGGAAGAACAAGGATGCATCCTCTAACTAGCCTATATCCCAATCTGGTTACAAAGGAGGATCTTCTCTTGCCATCTGAACTTGCACCTTTTAGGAATTTTTCTTCACAGGTAAATAGCCTTCTAGGTGATGCTTTACAGCTTATGACAAATCATTTATAGAACATCATTCAGTTCTTTCCAAAAAGAGTTTGTTATTAAGATACTTGCTTCGTATTTGCTAAGTCACGAGAATCTCTTTGAATGCAGCTAGCAGCTTTGGACTTTATTGCTTGTGCCGCTGCTGATGTTTTTGCAATGACGGACTCTGGGAGCCAGCTTTCATCCCTTGTGTCTGGTTTTCGGGCATATTATGATAGTGGAAATGCTCCCATTGTAAGGCCAAGCAAGAAAAGACTTGCTGCGATTTTACAAGAAAATAGCAGTATTGGGTGGAGTACTTTTGAGAACAGAATGGAAAAGATGATTGAAGAAGGTCAAAGAGTACATGTGAGGCCTTTAGGCAGAAGCATTTATCGACAGCCAAGATGCAAAGAATGCATGTGCAAACATCAATAGTGCCATTCCACTGTCACTGTTTATTGAAGACATCAAAATTGTTGTTCCAATGTCCTCAGCAAGTTTATTTGAACCAGATATTGTCTCCCTCTTCAGAGTAAATATTGTATTAGGTTAATGTTCCTCATGAAAATGAACCAAGCCTCTGTTAATGAGCTTTGGCATGAGTTTTAGACTCAAATTACCACCTGTATGTTCTTTTCATTATTTTGAGTTACTGATTACTACAAAAATATTAGCTTTTTTTGTAAAAATTCCTCTTTTCACTTATGTTTATATTTTTCACCATATTCATCAGATTGTTAACATGCAACTATTACTTCCTGGAAAACACTGTAATCTTCTGATTTGTAAGGAAATAAGTGGCACTTGAACTTCATACTACCCTTGAACCATCTGTAGAGGTTGAACCCACAACTCTATCCCAAGCTGAAAAACTTTTCAAATGGTGTACAGATGTGTGAGGAGTATGACACTCTTCTCAGTAATTCCACGTGGACCTTAGTACCACAAAACAACACACAGAACGTCATAGGTGCTAGTGTATTTATAGAATTAAGAGACACACAGATGGCACAATTGCCATACATAAAGCACGTTCAGTTGCCAAGGATTTTCATTAAAGACCTGGTGTGGACTTAATTGAAACGTAAAGCCCACTTGTTAAGCAAACTACATTGCGCATTATTCTCACACTGGTTGTTTCAAAGGGATAGTCACTAAGGCAGTTAGATATAAATGATGCTTTTTTTACAAGGCTCAATAATAGATGATGTCTTTATGTAGGAACCTCCAGGTTTCATTATTCCATCCTCATTTTCACGACACATGTGCTAACTAAACAAAGCAATTTATGGTCTTTGACAGGAACCACGAGCTTGGCATAATGAACTACAATCTTTCTTAGTAGCTAATGGATTCAACAATTCCCACGTTGATGGCTCCCTTTTCATCTGCAAAGACCACAGACACTTGATTTATCTTCTTGTCTATGGTAATGATATCATCATCATCATCATTGGTAGTGATGCTACCAAAACTCATTCGACATATAGCTAATCGTTTCTCTCTCAAAGACCTTGGAAGCTTAAGCTAATAAAAGGAATCCTACTATACCTAAAAGGCACTCTCCATCATGGTACCTTCATTCATAAAAATTTCCCACTCCCTTCACATGCATTTGCAAAGATTCGGCTGGAAATTCAGATGACTGTATATCCACAACAATGTATGTTGTCTTCTTCGGAGCCAATCCTGTAAGTTGGTCCTGTTGGGAAAACAATTTGTCATGTGGGCTTACATATGTAATTAAGTGTGTATTAAAGGCTATCTTAAAGTTAAGCTAATCTGATAGGAGCTGAAGTTATTGGGCTTTAGGTATCTAATAAAGTATGGGCCTAATTATATGTAGAAACCTGTTTTCTTTTGTTGTATTTTATGATGGGCTACATATGAAAATATATATTAGGGTTACGGTCTCCAATTCATATGTGTATGCTTATTCTCTCTGCCATCCCATCATTAGAAAGAATACAAAGACTTGTCCTTGAGAGAAATCGTATTGAAGAATCTCCGTTCTCATGAATCAAGGTATGCTTTCGCTTTTATTTGCTTGGTGATTTGACATGGAGGATTGATAAGTGCATTTTTGTGCACTTATTCGGGGCCATTTTATTAGGTTTTTGTGTCATTTTATTATTGTATTTTACTTAACATAGGTTACTTTTTTCCTATTTCAGTTTTGGACCTATTTTGAAACAATTGGAGAAGAAAGAAGGATAAATGGGCTAATTGACGAAGCTTTGA